ACCCAGAGTCACCCATACAAACCATTCGGAATAAATTTATAACAAAGATCAACGTTAAGCCGGCTTATGCCATCCGGCGCAAAGCAAAGGAAAGGAGAAGCTACGTTGTGTTAAAAGGCCAATTCCGTCCGTATGCAAAAGCAAGCACATAAAAACACGGCGAATTCACGCGTCCATATATGAGTAGGTTCTGCTGTCGTAGTTTCTTGCGTCCGGCTCACTGGTGCGCTCGGCACGTCCAAAGTCACTTCTGTATTTGACACACGTCACAGGCACTTCACAGTCCGTTCCGCCGGCGCGTCCGTTCTCGCGCCGGCGGCTCCCCGAGTCTTCTCCTGGTTACTCCCCTCTCCTGGCCCCCTTGGCCGCATACCTCCTACCTGGGCGCCTGGGGCAGGAGGAGGGGAACGCAAGCGCCTCGAAGCGGCCCTCGTCAAACTAAGCAACATTCACTGGCTAGCACATAGGGTTCCCTGGCACCTTATGCAGCATGTACAGGCACATACAAACACAACACACAATACAGAACGATGCACTGGAAGCCAGGACCACCTCATTGCCGAGCCGATTTCTTCTTGGCTCTGCCGGTGGATCAGGCGGATACCATTGCCGCAAAAAGGAGTCCTTCGGTTCCGCCGCCCTGCCAACGAACAGGGAGCCGGCCCAGCGCTCCCTATAAACCCAGCACCAGAAATAACCACAAATAGCTAAAATAGCTACTTGTACTAAATTCTGTAAGTCAGGACCAAAATAAGCATTTCACCACCGATTAGATTCCGGGTGCCAATATGAACGTTTTCACCACCATTTTAACGAAGTCGTCAACCTTAGTGCCTAGCAAATATAGGAAGGAAATGTCTAGAAAAGAATTTATCCGCCAGGTTGGCTGAAGATACAACATATAGGTGAAACAAATCACCAAGATATGAAAAAAACAAGAATTTGCACCAGAATCTAGGATATTTAGCCCACCAGCAAAAACTATCATATTTTAAGCCAAAATGGCATCAATTTTCGAATGTATTTGGACACAGGCGTCATTACGGAAATTGGAGATGTGCTCTGAGCGCGAATCGCTGACTAGTATTGAGTTTCGTACATATCTACGCATCCAGGGGCGCAGCCATGTGGTGGGGAGGGGGGGGGGGAGGGCACAGGGAACATGTCATCCCGCTAGGCCCTAAGTGGCCTTCGGAATCAGGACCCTCGGCACGAGCTATGAAGCGCCCGATAGGAGGGACCGAAGGCATGACCAGGAGACGACCCGGGAGAAGATATGACCCCAAAAGGTCAGCCAAAGCATTCGTCACGTCTGTGGGGGGTCCCGGGACGAAGGCATCCATGTAGGTCCAAGACCACCAATACTGAGCAGCTGGCTCTGAGTTTTGGCCCGGGGGGGGGGGGGAAGGGGCTCATTAACGAAGCAGGGACAAGGCCTGTCGGCAATTGTTACTGATGGCCTCCTACATTGGCCAGGGTTCCTAAGACAATGTGGCTGTCTATACCAAAGCACAAAGTGCTGAACAGGGGGGCCTGTGTCGGTAACGGTCTCTTAGTCGACCAAAGGATCATTTCGCTCAGAAGGAACAGGACGGGACCTTGAATGGCAGAGAGCCTTTTGCATTGGTTGAGGTCCTCTCGCCTGACATGGAATGGAAATAGAGAAATGAACATGAAATGGTCCAAAATGAGAAACTATAATGGTCTGACCAGTTACAGACTATAGTGCCGTACAGAGGCCGTGCAGGGCCCTTGGGACTGGGCCCAAAAACGGACCCGGACCCTAAACGGACCCGGGCCCCGTTTAAGCCGGGGCCTGAAAACCCTAACTGCGGTCCATACTTGCAATACACATACGTATTTTGGTGACATGTCGCATTTTTGTCATAACCGTTTTCGAAACCTTTCTGATCCAATAATTTTAAGATCATGGAGCCCACGCAAAGCAGGTTGTTTTGTGTGCTCAATGACTCTACCTTCCCATCGTGAAATTTCGGTTCTACGGCATAACCTTATGGAAAGACTTGAATACACCGTAATGCTTGAAACAGTCCCGTGCCCTTCGACTCCCCTGAGATTGAACATCCGTTGCCACTGGCCACAGACCATCCAAATCAGAAGTACAATAACGGGCGCATATAGACCCAGCCAATATCAAGAATGTAAAAGCCCACCTCCATCTCACTACCACCCCTTCGTGGTGAGTTTCACTGGGATGCATCCCCGTGTTTGGCTATTCTCGATGTGGCCTTGCAAGTGCATACATATACAGAGGGCAACTAAGCCCCTTCACCGGCGCAGGTGGGTTGGGATCACCAGTAGCTGATACCACCCTAGCTACGGGAAATTCATTTTGGATTGTGATGCTTTTTCACCTGTGATTTTCACCATGATTTTCACCATCACCAGACGTTTTAGCACTGTATCTGATCGGCTTACCTACCAGATTTTCAACCAGCCCCATTGTGATGAATCAGCCCTTGGTGCTAATTTGGCCGTTTCGGCTCACTGGTACAGTTGGTCCTCAGGTTGACTATTTTAATGCTGGAAAGGTCATTCTGGTTATGTCGGTAATTTGGCCCGTCGCGTAACTATTTTTTTTTCTCGCTATTTTATAGGCTTTTGGCTTTGAGAATCTTGTCCATCACTATGCAGCCAGCTGATTACTACCGCTGGCACTGCCGGCCTCGAACGCACTGTTGTTAGACGCCGAGGTGTAGTGGGGGGTCGGGGAATATATCGGTTCTTGTCGAAATCACAGCCAGGTGAATTTGGTTGAATTCGGGGAATCAAAACAGCATGCCTGATAGCGATATCTAGATAACGTTGTGAGGAACAATGTTGTAGCACGGTTTAAAGCCGAGTCATGCCACAAACGTATGGAATTTGATAGGTTAATCTGGCTGGCAAAGCTGTGCTATTTTAGTAGTTGCCACATTTTATCAGCATTTGTGCGTGCAGAGATTCAAACATACTGTCCCATGTTTTGCTTGACATCTATCATTTTGTTCAAGTATGGTCAAGCTGCCTGTGAACCCAGGCATGTCATTATTTTGTGGTAAGGTGGGGGCTAATCCCAATGCTCTCCAAAATAACAAACTCCCTCAAATTTTGTTCAAATGCCTTCAGAAGATTGATGAACATGTGGGAGCCTGACATAGACACAGTTCTTGTCATCAATCTCACCCATACAGAGTCCTCACCTTTTAATTTACAATTTGCATATGAATGTATCACAATAGTTATTTCTATGGCAGAAGTGGTGTAGCATGCATCTCAATGAAGAGATTGCATGGAATTCATGTTTTAAACCTGGGAAGCCCAGCCTGGTCCAGCTATTCATGTTGTCTAAAAGTTAATATTGTGACCCAACTCAAATCATCATCAGGAATAAGTGCAGCTAAATAATGGTTTAAGCATCAATGACCACTTTACTTAACTGACTCATACTTGCATGCACAAATTGCTTTATTCTCATTCAGGTTATAGAATGGATATAATGTATGTATATATTATATATATATATATATATATATATATATAATGCAATCATATAGACAGCCCAGAAACCACATATTTGGTTGATTGAAATGTGGTTTATTCTAAAGATGACCAAAGGTGACTGAGAAACCAACAAGTGTGGAGAAGCAAAATATGTTCATTTTTCTGTTCATGCAGTTTGCTTTGTTTTGTGTGCTGCGTGGTTTTTTCCTGTGCTTGGCATTTATGCAGGATCCAAATCTCAGAGTATAATTTTTTGTTTGGCATTAAGGATGAGTAAAAAATGGATATTGGTAAGTGATTAAGGTGAAAACATGCTTGTACTGTGGAATATTGCCATTTGTTACTTACCTCCCATTGGGCAATCATTAAGCAAAAATGTATTGTGTAAAGGCAGATTCATTTTCTGATTTACAACTGTCATCAAGCACTAGCATTGCTGTTGGTGCTGGAGCATGTTGTTGAATGAGTGGAGTTTTTAATGTGGTCTAATGGCCAACAATACCATTTTGAAGCGCACCAATGTAGTTCATTGATTCTTCTCTCCATACAAAGATCTTAGGCCCCATTGGATGAACCATGTTGGCGGATCTTAGGCTCCGTTGGATGACCACATTGGCGTCACAACCCTTCCTTTGCAGATGACTTCCTGTGCATCTTCGAGACGGGGCTCGAAACCGACACATGACCCATTGCCACCAAACAACACAAGCAGGTGAGCAACTCACAGAACACCAAATCTTCAGAACATAGCACCTCAAACATGACTGATGACATCAGAGGCCCTACCCATTTGCCAACATGCCCCAGACTCAAGCAAGTGGATCCATGGTTTGCACATGATTGTGCGAGATGGTGATATACATCAAACCTCAGTTTTGCACGTGTGATCATTATCTAATATGATTTGTGATGCGAATCTCATGCCGCTGTGACACCAAGTGGACGAGGTTCGCATCTGTTTTCCGACCATTATTTTGAGTTGCGTGCGATAAGAAAGTTTTTGCATTATCGTCTTTTACCACAAATCACAAGTAGCCGTCGCCGCAGGCGGTTCAACACATTTTACATCAGCAAAAATAAAAGACGCCGAGGTGCATGTGGAACGGGGTCCAAAATCGCCAACGGGACGTCACAGCGATGCGGGACGGAGATTTCGACTCGGGGGGGGGGGGGGGGGGGGAGGAGGACAGACAGCCACAGTGGCAACAATGCTGATAGTTCCGTGCGACTATTCATATGCTGGTATAAAGACTGTGAGATCGCTGGTGCTTGGCGCTTTTTTCGAAACCAATGGGTCCCGGCAGCCGGAGCAGGAAAGCCCGTCAAAAAGTGCACTGCATGGGCCCGCATTGCACTGCGTGGGCTCGTGCACTGTATTGTATTTGAACCGTGCGA